AACGAAATTTATCCATCTGATATTTATTTATCTGACTGCACGTTTGCTTGTGGCCTACCTACTCAAGTTGAAATTGCGGGTTAAACTAAGGGCATTTCATTTTTAGGGATTTTGCACGTAGTCGGAACCACTACGTGGGATTTTATCGTGAACGCCACCTCCTGGAATTAAAGGTGCATGCCACGATTGCTCAGGTTTTCGTCATGCGCTCTAAAATGAACGCAGATGTGGTGTACTGTCAGTCAGTAATGGAGACGCAGAAGAGGCCTCTCCAGGCATGTCAAAACAAACATCAACAACAGCCCCAAAAGCGCCGATCATGTGGGCGGAGATCGCACTTTTTACAGTGGCCAATGGATCTCCCACAGGATACGGTGTAGGAGAGTGGGCGACCAATAGGAAGGCCCCAAATCCCGCCCACTCGACCAAATTCCATGTGCTTCCAAAGGGTTGTTTGCAGTTTCATGTTCTTTTTTCTTAACTAGTCGACTAAATAACCATATCTGATTTCATTTTCGAGCGCAATAAACCCGGTCTAGGCAATCGTGGAAGGTGCCCTTATGTGGATTAGGAATAGTTGCGGCGGTAGCATAGAAAGACAATTCAGGACCTAATGATATGTAGCCAATTATTCGGTTCAGTACTTTCTGACTGACTAGATCTAGCGAGAATGAGTTCCAATTGAGTGACAGATTCGGTAATGCAAATATTCAAAAAGGTGCACAATCAACAAAAAATTTCAAAGAAGTGTAGACAGTTTTCGGAAAGCATGAGCGACGACAAATTCTAATCGATATCGATCGATGCTTTGGCAGCAGCTAAAGTTTCAGCAAAAGGAGGAGAAAAAAGCGTGCTCAAGACATATAGGCACGACACACCGGAAGAGAAATATTGAGTGATGAACATTGCTGGACGAACAGTGGAAAGAGAAAACGGGTCGAGTACCCTTGCAATCAGCAATTGCCACAGTAGGAAGACGTAGACGGCGTGTCCGCATCCAAACTCACTCCTCGGCATTCTGAAAATAAAATGTTAAA